GGAGTAAGTAGGGAGTAAGTTGGGGAGTAGAAGAACTCCCAGAACCCTATCAAGCAGGTCAAGTACAGTATCAGCGGACGTACCACTAAGGGCCATCAGCAGGAACATCAGCAGCAATAGCAGCATCAACAACAAGGGGTTAGCATCAGCAACAGCAGCAACAAAGAGCTGCTGACTCGGCAGCTGCTGAAATAAGAGCATGTTTTCCTGCTCGTCTGTGAAGTGAGAGGTTTTCTGGACAAAAGCCCTGTTGTTCTTTCCCTTTAAACAACAAACGGCCATTTACTGCTACCATGTTTTTCCCCAGTGAGTCTGACCACCACCACCACGCCAGGAAAGAAGAAGAAGTTTCTACATTTTTATTCCCCCTCGATGAAACATTTTTAGAGAGTCCAAGTTGAAGGGTTTAAGATGTCCCCCTTGATCCATGGAACTCCATGGTACAATGCTGGAATTTCTACTCCAGCGCCCGCTAACTTCTGGCCCCTTCAGCCCACCAGTTATTGGTTTTTGTTGATGTATTTGGTGTTGGAGAATGTAGGTCTCTTGTTGTATTTGGTGTTGGAGAATGTAGGTCTCTTGTTGTATTTGGTGTTGGAGAATGTAGGTCTCTTGTTGTATTTGGTGTGGGAGAACGCAGGTCTCTTGTTGTATTTGGTGTTGGAGAACGCAGGTCTCTTGTTGTATCTGGTGTTGGAGAATGTAGGTCTCTTGTTGTATTTGGTGTTGGAGAACGCAGGTCTCTTGTTGTATTTGGTGTTGGAGAACGCAGGTCTCTTGTTGTATCTGGTGTTGGAGAACGCAGGTCTCTCCATGAGACCACAGTGTGTGTTCTTTAATAAAACATTTTGCTTAAAATGTTTTTTGCTTGTGTGTCTTACCTTTCTTATTTTGGGCAGAGGACGACACACAGCCACCAGTGATTGCTGAGGCTTCCCCATTCCCTCCTGAACCCCTTCTTTGTGTGTCCAGATGCATCCAGGATAGGTTACTTGAACATGCTCGTAAGGTAGCGGACAGCTATCTTCCTTGTGACTTTTGATTGACTGTTGGTACCTTGTGGTAGTTCCAGAGATCAATGTCCCGCGGTCTGATCCGCACTGCTGGTTGGTGGTCTGGTCAACCAGGCTGTTAGACGCCGCTGTCTGATAGCTTCCGGAACAGTTCCCTTTAATCTTGTAGCCCTGTAGGACAAATCCCTGGAAGGTATAGCTTTGTAAAGCTTCATATTCTTGGATACGTATCTTGAAATACATGTTTGTGACTTGTTTAACGTATCACAGTTAATTTCGTAACAGTTTCGTTGTGACATCTTGCATGATAATTATATTATCATTGAATGAACCCATTAATGAACCCATCAATGGGTTCATTCATTAATACTTTCAGTAATAACTATAGTGTACATTTTAGTGTGTGGCACGTGATCACTTTCTTGTTGTCTTTCACAGTGTGATGCAACGTTTCGTCTTTCCTCTTAAGACTGACCAATATCCTCTTGAGACTATACTAATATTCGAATACTAATGTTGTCAGTCTCTCTACTGACAACATCTCGTAAGAGTCTCTTGATTGACAGTTTCACGAGAGAGACCTGTCAACTGACAGCCTCAGCCTCAGCCAAATTCTCACAAGTCGAACCTGGGCTCGGGCCGGGCTTGGGGGGCGTAGAAGAACTCCCAGAACCCCACCAAGCAGGTATCAAGCAGATATCTCTGTTCATTGAAAGTCTTTTGATGCAGGAAAATATAAATCCCTCAAGCGCTATTACTTCATGATCCCTCTATAGTGACTGCTTAAGCGAGGAAGGTCGGTTACCCACCTGGAACATATTCTGAAAAGAGAAAGGGAAAGTTCAAAGAGAAAGGGAAAGCTTGGAGATGAAACATTGTGAAAGATAGCAAATAAATGTACGAGGCATGGCCAAATGAAATAAATGTTAGAGACTTAACAGGAAGGCAGAGTGCTCCAGATGAAGTGTTTCCTGGAGAGAGAGAGACGAGAAAACGGTAAGTCGCTGGTCTCCTTCAGGTCTTCATTACAAAGAAAGCTTTATAAGTATCGGAAGTTCGAAAGTGAGATGGATAGAATATCTTTTTTTTTTCGGGGATGAGACGCGTAAACACAATGCCATTTGACAGTGCGTCTTCCAGTCAACTGTGTCACCTCCATTCACAGTGCCACCTTCACGCAACAGTGCCTCCTCAATCCAACAGTGCCTCTTTAATGTAGCCATCTTGGATCTATCTTTTAATCTGCGTCGTCAGTGTTTGGATGGTGTCTCTGTTGAGTCCACAGGCACCGAGGTCTTTAGAACTGCTGTGTACGTTGTGTTAACCTCCCCTCTTCCCCCCTGATTCCCCCCATCCCCCCCTGATTCCCCCCATCCCCCCCTGATTCCCCCCATCCCCCCCCCCTGATTCATCCATCCCTGGATTCACTCCGTCCCTCCTGACTCACCCATTCCACCCTCACTCACCCTTCATCTCATCCCTCTTGACTCACCCTCTCCCTGATTCCCTGAAACTCTTCCCCAACCCTTCGAATATTCCTCTCTCATTCGCATGACTTCCCCCATCCCAGTCCCTCTTGACTCTCTATCCCCCCTATCCCTCCGATTCTCCGTTCCCCCCCGACTCCCAACACCTGTTCCCTTAACTCTCCTTTCCCCGTCCTCTATCCCTGTCCCAGCAACAACCCCCTCCCACCCGTCCATTTGTTAAGATTCATTGATATTATGAGTGAAGCCGCCTCGGGGAATTTTGGGGTGTTTTCAGTAATTGTTCTATTTAGTGTTTTATGTGTTTGTGATATTAGGGTAATGGCGGCTCAGCGTCACTAGATGTTTATTAATTCCGGATTTGTTTTTAGTGGTTTGGATTGTAGAATGTTTACGAATGGTTTCTTGCGGGTTTTGTCGTGAATCATCACGTTTTGTATTGGTTTTGTTGTTGATGCTGTTGTTGTTGCTGTTGGAGACGCTATTGTAGCCTCTTTTGTTGCTTTCTGTGCCTCTGTGCTATTGTTGGCCCTGCTGCTGCTGCTGTTGTTTCTGCTGCTTGTGTAAATGCCTTTAGCTTTATTTCCTTTTCGCCTCCTCCTCCTCCTCCTCCTCC